AACAGAGAAGGAGAAATCTGATAGTTCTGGATATAGAAATAAATATGATTAAAGATCAATTAAAACCACTTTCCAACTGTGAGGAGGTTGAAAGTTAACTAAACAAAGTAAAGGAAGCTATTTATAAGCTAGAACAGGAGACACTACCTATAAAAAAAAAAAATGTATTAGGAATCAAACGGATTATGCCACTAATTGTATAAGATCCTTTTCACGTAATCATCGGACCAAACAGATTTAAAACAAATCTTTCAAACCAATCTCATTTTCGTTATACTCAGAGATTTAAACAAAATCCTAATTTATCTAAAAAAAAAAAAACACTCTAAAAATACATATTTTGACAAAATCAGTTTAAGTAATATCAGTTTAACCTTGGCACATCAACCTGACTTGATACCTCCAAAAATGCTCCAGAACTGCTGAACGCTGTTGGAGAAAGACACACTGTGCATCTGACTTTCTCCACTATAAATGTATGCTGCGCTCATACAGCTTGGCTCTTTCCTCTGCAAAAGTTAATTACTTCAAAACCTTCATAACCACACTCTCCCGCGAAATCAAACGACTATTTCACACCCAATTCTCTTCTTCGCCCTATTGTTCCTCCTTTTTGTTCTGCAGAAAAGTATGAATTCTCATTATATAGATTTCCTCCCACAGGTTCCTTCCTAATAACATTGGAAATAATAGATCACTGACAATATAAAATAAAAGACAAAATCTATCAGATAAGGAGCTTTTATGTTGGTTTCGTGTTGTTTACACCGATTTATGAATGATAGTTCTTGTATAAATAAGAAACTAATTTCCTTCACAGATCACTTTCTTTTTCTAGATGCCCTAAACGTTAAAATGTCCAAATCATTTATATATTTATTTATTGTCTAAGTCATATCCTACATGTCTTTAATTGTGGTTTTCAAATTTTTTAAATTAAATATTTTATAAATGTTATTTTATAGCTAGGGTACTTTAAAGGACACAATTTAAAGAATGAATTCAGAGTTAGTCCTCTCTGGCCATAAGAATGAGTGAGTGGAAGGAAACAAATTAACAGGTAAGAGACATTTTCACAGTTACCTTAAAATTTTTATATTAGGGAACGTAGCTCTGTGCTTATCTACCTGTAAGCTTCACTTTTGTGTACACACTGCAACACAATGGCTAACAAACATAAGAAGAAGGCTGGGATTAGCTGCAGCTCACATTAAAGGAAACACTGGAAGAAAAAAAAAAAAAAACTACACCCAAAGGAGCGATACAATATTGCAGGTTTATCTAAACCTATCTAAATTATTATGATGATATTTATAGAGCGCCGTCAAATTCCGCAGCTCTTTACAATGGGTGGACGAACAGACATGTAGTTGTAACAAGACAAGTTGGACACACAGGAACAGAGGGGTTGAGGGCCCTGCTCAATGAGCTTACATGCTAGAGGGAGTGTGGTAAAATGACACAAAAAGGTAAGGATAGTATTAGACTAGTGAGAGTTACAGAAGAGGAATCAGTCAGGAGCTATTAACAGTTTAATTGATACGCTTTTATGAAGAAGTGGGTTTTTAATGATTTTTTGAAGGAGGGGAGACTGGGTGAGCATCTAACGGAGGAGGGAAGCAAGTTCCACAGGAACGGTGCAGCCCTCGAGAAATCTTGAAGGCGAGCATCAGAGGTGGGAGTACGGACAGAAGATAGACGTAAGTCTTCAGCAGATCGTAAGGGCCTAGACGGGACATGCTTGTGTATAAGGGAGGATAGATAGCAGCATTATGTAGAGATTTGAAAGCAAGAACCAGAATTTTAAATTGAGCTCTATATTTTATAGGAAGCCAATGTAGGGACTGACAGAAGGGTGAGGCATGGGAGGTGTGGGCGGACAGAAAGATGAGCCTCGCCGCCTCATTCATTATGGACTGTAACGGCGCTAGTTGGGAGCATGTAAGACCACTGAGAAGCGGATTACAGTAGTCAAGGCGAGAAAGGACAGTGGGAGACACAGAGCAAATGGCAGAAATATCTATGGACAAATATCAAATGCAAAAGAGATCAGATCTAATTATTGATCTACATATAATAAAATGTATTTATCTGCACATTATCCAGATAGATAATTAAAAAAATAACACATGTACATGTAAATTTGTTTAAAAAGATATATGAGGAAAAAGCTTTAAAATACATTTAAAAAGATAAAATGAGAAAACAATCTTTGCAAAGCAATTGCTGAGCAGGCTCCAAAAAATGATTAATCTATAACAGTTTCTACCCATTCAGTATTAATCGTTTATACAGGCATTTCCCAGTTTACGAACTCCCGCTTTACGTTTTCCCGCCTTTACGAACTTTTTTCGGATGCGTGCGCCATTTTATTTCTGTCGCCATTTTGTTTAGGTGATCCGTGGATGCGGACCGCGGAGCGTGTTTGGAGGCAGTTGAAAAGGAATTTGAGGCCGGGAGAGTGAAAGGTAAGGTATTGTCACTCAACACTTGGCCCCATGTGTGCTTTTTTGATCATTTCCACAGTTTAAAATCTGTATACAGTAATTAGCTTTGTCTCTAAAGATTTCCTGGGAGGCATCTTTCGTTTTAATATATTTTCAGTAGCTCAAAAAGAATGTAATTTGTAATTTGTCCCATTTGTATTCTACTAAGGCTTATTATGTAGCATCCCTCTTTACCCTTTACAGCCACATTTAAAAAAAAATAAAAAAAAATTAAGTGTAATCTTTTTTGCAACATGGGATACAGAAATAGCTTATGAAGCTGTTGAGATACCTAAAATAATGTAATCTGAATAAATAATTTATATTAAATGCATTTATATTTTTGGGTTCTTGAATTTTAAAACACTGAGCACAGTTTAGCCTGACCTGCTACTGCTGATTAGGGCTTCCATATTTGATGTGTGAAAATATAACAGTGTGTGTGAAGAAATCCCTATTTTATGTGCAATACTTCTTCCCTATTCATTCGGTAGATATAACTACCGAACAGAGACCACCCCCCGGCTCGTTAAACTTCAAAGAATGCCTCAATTGAACCCTCTATCTGTGCGGCCGAACGCCTCCTGGCTGAGAAAACGGCAGCTATCTTTTTTCAATGGAACAAAGGCAGCGGGACTTGGTCGTCGAGTGTCTGGAACTAAAATCGGACACTCGTCTTCCTGAACACCGGTCTCAACAAGTGAACGCTGGATCTTAATGTCCCGAACAGCTAGAAGAGCGCTGTGCGGTACTTTTGTGCATTCGAATGAGGGGAATAATCGCTGCTAAGAGCCAGGGGAATCTAACTGAATAGACCAGCAAATCGCTGCTAAGAGTCACCTAACTGAATAGACCGGCAAAACCACCCAAACTCCTGGAACTATTTTGGGCAGCCACCTCGCGGTTAGCCGGTCACAAAAGACTTCCATATTTTTTGAGAACCCCTGAACCGATCTGGGTGAAATTCGAATATGTTGGTAACCCAGATCGGGGCTATCAGGGGACATATTGTGGGGATACCCCATGCCTAAAGAGGTATTCTGAATATTGGGGGAAATTGTAATTTTCCTGCCTGGAGATAATCAAATTATTATTTTATCAGACTTGATTATCTCCAGGACTAGGGGAGGGAATTGTATGTTTGTGCTGGGTGTGTTTTACGGTTTTCCTGTAAATGATTGGTTGTACTGTGTCCCACCCTGTGGGATGTCCCTTTGCATGGGGACTTGCATAAAAGCCAGTGTGTGGTCATTAAAAGCCAGTTCTGTTGTACCCTTCTTCTTGACTTCGGTTGATGTTTGGGGATTCGTATGCTTTATTAAGGGAATCATCTTGTAAAGCTATTGTGTTCGTATGGATTTTGTTTATTTAATCTACCGAACGGAGAGCTATAGTCACTGATGCTCTGGCGGTTCGGGAGGAAACTAACAAATGAGGATTGGATATAGTGTGTCTAATTGTTCGTCCAAATAACTTATTTTTCATTTTAATGTACCTGTATGCTTTTTCTAATTGTATGGTTTTTGTGTGTGTGCCTGAGATTGATGTGAGTGTGCTTAGGAGAGTGAAAGGTAAGGTAAAAAACATGCTTGTGTGTGTGTGCCTGAGATTGATGTGAGCGTGTTTAGGAAAGTGAACAAGAGTGAAAGGTAAGGTAAAAAACGTGTTTGTGCCTGAGATTGATGTGTGTGTGCTTGGGACTTCTTTTTCCCTAATTCCCCCCCCATCCCCAAACCCGTTAGACAGACAAATAAAAGTTGTGAAATGTAAGTCAGGTGTCTGTAATTTTAGCTGTTTACCCATATGAAGTGTGTGTGTGACACTGTGACATATTTTGGCAGGTTGCAACGCAAGGAGCAGGAGGAGGGCTGAAGAGCCTGAAGAAAGGAGAGAAGAAGTAAAGCTTGAAGGCTCTAAAAATAGTGTTAAAAAAAAAAAAAAGAAGCACTAAAAAATAAAAGGAGTAGAGACTGAAAGCTCTAAAAATAAAAGGAGGAAAAGAGGTGCAAGCCCTAAAGTAAGACAGAAAGAGGAGAGATTGAGAGCTGTAAAATTAAAAGGAGCCAAAAAAAGTGATGAAGGAGAGGTGCAAGCCTGAAAGTAAGAGAGGAGGTATGAAATCAAAGAAGGAAAAAGAAAGTGATAAAGGAGAGAGGGACGTTGAGAAAGAAGAAAGTGAAGAAGGATTACTCATAATGCCACCAAAAAGAAAGGAGGTTACAGTTGGTGCTTGTAATGAAACTATCAAAAGACGAAAAGTCATAACATTAGAAACAAAATTGAACACCATAACAGACCATGATGCTGGAAATACCACTAAAGAATTAGCTACCAAATATTCACTAAGTAAATCAACTGTGAGTACAATTTTGAAAGACAGAGAAAAATATTTAAAGGAATTAAAAAATGTGCAATCCCTGCATTCTACTTGGATACAAACAAAGGAAAATTAAAGCCTTATTCCTCATATGGAAAAACTTTTAACATCATGGACAATTGATCAAACTGGATGGCTCCATATGCCGGTTACCTATGCTACCATTTGTGCTAAAGCTTTATCACTTTTTGAGATGCTGAAACAAAGAAAAGGAGGCAACATTGAAGAAACATTTTCTGCAAGCAGTGGGTGGTTTGATCGGTACAAAAAAAAGAGCTGGTTGGCATAACATAAAAATCCGTGGAGAATCAGCAAGTGCCGATACAGAAGTGGCTAAATTATTTCCTGCTAAGTTGGCAGAAATATTGGAAGAGGGAAATTACTTGCCATCACAGGTTTTCAATGTGGATGAAACTGGTCTCTTTTGAAAGTGCATGCCACCAAGAAGCTACATTGCAAAAGAAGAATCATCAATGCCCGGCAAAAGATCGACTAACTTTATTGCTTGGTGGGAATGCAGCTGGAGACTGTAAGTTAAAACCCATGATGGTGCATCGTGCAGAAACCCCTAGGGCACTTAAAGGAATTGTGAAAAGCACACTGCCAGTCATATGGAAAGCCAATAAAAAAGGTTGGGTTACTGCTCCGCTGTTTGAAGATTGGTCCTCACATTATTTTTTACCTGAAGTGAAAAAATATTGTGACGATAAATCAATACCTTTTCAAGTTATTCTGCTTGTAGATAATGCACCCGGTCATCCACCCTCTCTTAAACATCACCACCCTAATGACAAAATCCTATTCTTGCCACCAAATACAACTTCCATTTTGCAACCAATGGAACAAGGAGTTATCACCACATTTAAAGCACTGTACCTTTGGCAGACATTTAAAATGTTGATTAAAGCAACAGATAACGAGACAGGTGCAAGTCTTAAAGATTTTTGGAGAAAATCATTTAATATTTTAGATGCAATAAAAATTACAGCATATGCCTGTAACAAAATTTCAGAGATAACCATGAAAGGTGTTTGGAAAAAGCTCTGCCCTCAGTTGTTTAGTACTAATGTTGAATGGTTTGAAGAACCAGCAGAATTTGTACAGCAGAACACAGAAGCAATAGTTACTCTTGCCAACAGATTGGACCTGGACATCTACAACTGACATAAATTACCTTTTTGAAGCGCACAAGGAAGAACTTACAAATGAAGACCTCTTAAATATGGAAGAACAAGAGGAAGTTGAAGAGGTAGAAGATGTTACAGCGCCTGAAACTCCTGTTCATTCTTTCACTTTGAAAGGCCTCAAGGAAGCATTTCAACACATGGAAAAGGCAATTAATATTTTTGAGACACATGATTCTAATTTTGAGAGAAGTTCCAAAGTTGCTAGAGATCTTATGCCTGCTATAAGGAAATTTACAATGAAAAGAAAAGAATGTGTTGGAAGGAAACCACTATCACAGCTTGTCTACAGAAAGCTGCTGTGACTACGTCTGTCTTAAACAAACCAGAAACAAGTGAGGTGCAGCCTTCAACAAGTACCAAACAACTGAGGGAGGACTGTGCGGTGCCCCATTCATCAAGTGCAACATGTCTTTTCATTGAGGACGATGATGATTGAGGATGATTTGATGAAGAATTCAATATGGTATGTATTTCTTTAATGTTCCTACAACATATATGTATTTGTTATGCCTATATTTTGTATTTGTACTTAATAATTTAGGTTTTCTATAGTAAAATTTCTTGGTTAGGAATGGAACCTATGCTTATTACATTGCGGTCTATGGGAAATTAGTTCTCACTTTATTAACTCTCACTTTATGAACTAGGCTTCGGAACCAATTAGTTTGTAAAGTCAGGAACTACCTGTATTCGTGCCTCGGTTAACGGAAAAGTCCCAGTCACTTTCTTTGTCGATTTGCCTAAAGCAGATACACAGTCTACTGAGGCCACTCTTCTAGCTTGTCTTTCTAAATTTGGGCTCAGTAATGGCTTTCTTGCCAAAAACTGGATTGGGGCTTGCAGTGATGGTGCAAGTATAATGCTTGGGAGAAAGTCAGGTGTTCTGGAATGACTCAGTAAAAAAATATCCACAGCTTGTGAAATGGCACTGCTTTTGTCAAAGGCTTGAATTGTGCATTTCAGATACAATTGATTCTATTTTTTGTCTTCGTCATGTAACATTATTTTTTGAGAAGTTTTATCCTGTGTATCATCAGTCCTCAAAAAATCTGGCAGGGCTCTCTGAACGTGCAAAAGAATGAGAAATACAAATTCTTAAAAATTGGAACCTTTTTTACTCAGTTAGATGGGTGGCTTGAAGAGTCACATCCTGCACTACACAGTCATTTCTTGAAAGCAAGCTTAAGCTCGGCTCATAACAGTAAGCAGAAATTTAGTGGCCTTAACAAGGTCTTGACATCAGAAGATTATTTGTTAAACCTTGCAGGGGTTGCAGATGCTGTTCAGAAAATGGGACTGATATCTGAAGCTCTACAAAGAGATGACATCACACTTCCACAAGCCTTCCATCAGCTGATTAATCGTTCAGTTCGTGCAGTTGAAAAAATGACAGACATGCCTGGCAAACATCTGAAAGAAGTCATGGAATCGCTGGGAAAGGGAATTTCAAAGGTGTGACCATGAATCCAGGGAGTTCAAAAGGCCAAGTGAGGTTAAACCTCCCTCGATTTTATCAATGTTTGGTGGATAATTTATGCTCCAGACTCTTTGCTTTACCTGCGAGCAACAGACCTGCAGCTTAATCACAGTCAGGTGAATTTTAAACTCTAGTCTCTGAAATGGACAGTCTGAATTCACAATGTTGGCCAATCAATGTGGACAGTATGTAGTTTGACGGTAAAGTAAAGCTGGAGCAGCTGTGCAAAAGATTCAGTCTCACCTATCTGTGAAGGTTTCAGAGACTACATTAATAATGGTAGTGCAGAGATTCCTGAAAATCTGAAACCAATGGTGACAGCAGTTAACAGTCTTCAAATGACATCTGGTGATTGTGAAAGGAGTTTCAGTACCAATTTGGTGATGTCACACATTAGGAGTGGGCTTGGCATTGAACGCCTGTCTTCTCTTTTGTTTATTAGTCTCATTGGCCCTCCTGTGCATTTATGGGATCCTTTACCATACGTCACAAAATGGCTGACCACACATTGCAGCCCAGATGATACTAAATCTCGAAACATTGATAATCTTGCACGGCAGGGGCAACGTTATTCCAGTTTGTGGGATATTTTCTAACGGTCTGTGTGTTTAGTTTTTTTTTTAAATACACTATTTGTTTTAGAAATTCCCTGTGAGGGGAAGATCATCACACATTGTGGTGATTATCCTGTTAGTATGACAAACAAGTTAACTTATTTTGTTGTTACATTTGTTTACTGCACTGCACTGGCACTTTACAATAAATGTTGCACTGTATTTTCTGAGAAATATATATATGACGCATACTTTTTTGGGGGGCGGGGATGTTCAACAATTAGGTATTTTCAGGTATTAGGTATTTTCAATTTATCAGATAAACTATTGAATAAAGCATACATCAAACTACTCAGTAAAGGTCTAAAATTTGCTTTATCATGTTTTAATAAACCTTTTGACAAAAGTTTATATGCAAACGATGCATTTAACAATTCTTTCACAATCATAAGAATGATGATAATCCCAACTCTATAAGTAAGGATATGAATGACACGGGAGTTATCCATACCTCTTTAACCCCTTAAGGACCAAACCTATGCAATAAAAGGGAATCATGGCATGTGTCCTTAAGGGGCTAAAGGATAGATAGACCTTCTTCCCCAAACAATATTAAAATGGGTGTCTGAAAGTTTATGAAAAGTTAGCTATGACAGATATAAAGAGGATTAAATATAAAAGAAAGAACACTTTAACTAAGAACCAACAAAAGGTTTGAAATGAATTACAACATGATGCCAATATTATAATTAAAGAGAAATAAATAGAAATACTTTGCCGTGATCTATAGACAATTGGATGATGTATTAACATAAGAGAAACTAGAGGGGAACCCCACAGAAAAAAAAAAAAAAATCAAAGAAATGAAATATCAGACTTTATTGGAAAAGGGTAAAGAGTTGAATATTCTTAATAAAGACGAATTTCAATACCTGAGTATTAGAGTAAGGACTCTAAGCACTTGGAAGAAGACCTCAGGTCGAAACGCGTCTGATAAGAGACTGTTTATTAAGGTTTGATATTGCCAGCGGTGAGTTTTTTTATTCTGTGTACTTGCTTTTAGTATCAGCTACACTGCTTAAAGTTCATTCTTGGCCTATCTCCTTAATCATCAATTTATTTTACTTCAACGTTTATAATAAATATAATTTTTTAATCTACTGGATCATTGTGGTACTACTCCTGAATTTCGTTTAGCCTGGATAGGTACCCTTGGGCTGTATCTACAGAATCTGATACGGCTCTGCACCATGTCAGTGTGGTTCCATTTGCACCCACTATTGTATATACCAAACAGATTTACGCTATGTTGGTTTTATATTTTCTCTTGTAGGTCTATAAATGATTCTAAGACCCCTGCCTTTTACCTACATAAGTATCTTTATTGTTTTACTTAATGTGTTACACTTCTGGTGTTTTGTATTGGTACTTATTCTGGTTTACCTTGTTTTCTCTAGGGCCAGGAAAGCACTTTTAAAACGTAACAAATATTTATCTTAAAAAGCGCCTAGATACACTTTTCTGTTTCTTATTTTGATTATTAAATCTATGTTTTAGGCATTATTCACTTTGCATTTACTAAACTGAAATATATGTATATTTCTAGCCTGAGATATATTTATAGTAAGATCTTAATAATTTTAAATAATTTTCCTTTTGCAACATTGTATAGTGTTTAATTACAAATTGACAAAAAACATGTGCAACTGTTTAGAAGGAATTACACTGAATTATGTTTGACTCGTTTTTTAATGCCCGCTGTTTTAAATTAGATATGTGTTCATGAAATGTTCTATTAGCAATTGTACATGTGACTATATACAGGTGATACTCGAAAAATTAAAATATCGTGCAAAAGTTAATTTATTTCAGTAATGCAATGTAAAAGGGGAAACGAATATATGATAGTTAGCAAGATAGTTCAAGCCGTGATTTGTCATAAGTGCAATGATTATGGCTTACAGCTCATGAAAACCCCAAATCCACAATCTCAGTAAATTAGAATATTACATGAAATCAATAAAACAAGGAGTGTACATAGAACAATATCAGACCTCTGAAAAGTATAAGCATGCATATGGACTCAGTACTTGGTTTGGGCCCATTTTGCAGCAATTACTGCCTCAATGCGGCGTGGCATGGAAGCTATCAGCCTGTGGCACTGCTGAGGTGTATGCTTCAATAGCGGCCTTCAGCTCTTCTGCATTGCTCGGTCTCATGTCTCATCTTTCTCTTGGCAATGCCCCAGGCTTTGGTGCTTTTGGCAGTGTGGGCAGGTGCAAAGTCCTGCTGGAAAATGAAGTCAGCATCCCCATAAAGCTCGTCTGCGGAAGGAAGCATGAAGTGCTCCAAAATCTCCTGGTAGACGGCTGTGTTGACCCTGGACTTAATGAAGCACAGTGGACCAACACCAGCAGATGACATGGCTCCCCAAATCAATACAGACTGTGGAAACTTCACACACAGTGTGTGCCTCTCCATTCTTCCTCCAGATTCTGGGTCCTTGTTTTCCAAATGAGATGCAAAAGTTGCTCTCATCAGAAAAGAGGACTTTGGACCACTGAGTAACAGACCAGGTCTGTTTTTCTTTAGCCCAGGTAAGACGCTTCTGATGTTGTTTGTTGTTCAGGAGCGGCTTGACAAGAGGAATACACAGATACACAGATTCGTCTGTGTGTGGTGACTCTTGATGCACTGACTCCCGCCTCAGTCCACTCCTTGTGAAAGTCCCCAACACTTTTGAATGGCCTTTTCCTGACAATCCTCTCCAGGCTGCGGTCATCCCTGCTGCTTGTGCACCTTTTCTTGCACACTTTTGGAACATCCAACCTCCTTTGCAATTACCTTTTGAGGCTTTCCCTCCTTATGGAGGGTGTCAATTATGGTTTTCTGCACAACTGTCAGGTCAGCAGTCTTCCCCATGATTGTGATTCCTACTGATCTAGACTGAGAGACCAATTAAATTCTCAGAAACCCTTTGCAGGTGTTATGGCTTACTTAGCTGATTAGAGTGGTGTCATGTTACATGATATTGTTTTATTATAATGTACTGTTTCTTTAATGTTCATCTTTAGTTTGTCTCCTGGACCACTCTGAAGTTTGCATGCTGCTTCAGGTACTCCCCTCCCCTTCTCCTGTTCTAATGTTTTCTATGCTAAACATTCAATGGGACTTGTGGTATCTCTCCTAACCTGTATGGAAGAATCGTTCTTTTACCTGTTGTGACTGCACATTCTACAGATCATACGACGAATTAACATCGCCAGATCTTCTTTCATGTGAGTTGTGACTCAGTAAACTATCTAGGAAGGTGATTTGGTACGGATAATCTCATCAGGGCAATGAACGCCATGTGCTCTTGAAAACCACATTCATAGCCTTTGCAGCCGTTCCAGAATAAGTGGGACACTGTGAGACTAGAATATTGCACCTTTTCACAATATTCTAATCTACTGAGATTGTGGATTGGGGTTTTCATGAGCTGTAAGCCATAATCATCGCACTTATGACAAATCACGGCTTGAACTATCTTGCTTTGCGTGTAATGCGTCTATCTCATATTAGTTTCCCCTTTTACGTTGCATTACTGAAATAAATTAACTTTTGCACGGTATTCTAATTCTAGAATTCTAATCACTTGTAAGCAAAGACTTTGAAATATTAGCCAGTCATTAAGGTAACAGTAATTCTGGAACACGCACTAGGTTAAAGATGCTATGTCAGAAAATGGGCTAGATATAATATATTATTGTAGAGAAATTAAAAAGTTCATGTTATTCTTAAATCTTTTGTTATCATTCAGTATTATCATTCTTCTTTATATTTTGTCTTTTCTAGAACCTTAGCTTTATGCTTAAAAGTCAGTTTGAGTGAAGAAAGTCAGAATGGATATCCGCAACTTTTTTACAAAGCCTAGTAAAGCAAATACATCCTCATCAAGCTCAGAAGCATGTCAACAAAAAGAGATCACTGAATCACCAGTCAGGCATCATTTTGTTGAGCCAGAAAAGGAATATGCTGAGACAGTGTCTTTAGAAGCAGTTGGCCTCATGAGTGACTCAAGTAGTGATGGTGAGGAAGACCATGCTTGTGGTCCTGCAATCAAAACTGTAGAAGATGTTCATAGTAAATCTAAAACATACACGAAAGGAAAATGCATTTCTCTTTCAGCTGATGATGAGAAAACATTACGAACGGCATTGGTACCAAATCAACCAGACTACAAAACAATTCCAGCACAGTCCATTGTAACGCAAAAGGCAAAGAAGCGTGTTCTTTTCAAGAGTGCTGGTTCCAAAGCTTTCCATGGCTGCACTATAGTTTTACTCTTGAAGGGGTACTATGTTTCTACTGTGCTAAAGCAGCCGTCCTGAATCTGACTCAACTCGAAAAGAACACTGAGCCAGCATTTATGTGTGTAGGCTTTAAAAATTGGAAAAAAGCTTTCGAAAAGTTTAAAAAAAATCAGAGTTCTGCTCATACATATTCTATAAAGCAACTATTGCATCATAAAGATTTGCAACCCATTAATGTTCAGCTTTCACTACTAATTCAACAGCAACAGAATGATGCATGGCTGTGTCTCATCAAGATAGTACAAACAATAGCCCTGTTGGCAAAACAAGGTCTCCCTCTTCATGACCATGAAGACAATGATGGCAATTTTAAACAGTTTCTGCTTGCACAAGCAGATGATGTGTCTTATCTAAAAAATTGGATATCACACAAAGCAGAATACATGAGTCCCGACATTCAAAATTAGATTTTGAAGTTATTGTCTCACACCCTATTACGCCTTATTCGGAAACAGATTGGGAATAATGCCTTTGCAATTATTGTTGATGGCACACAAGATATATCTGGTCAAGAACAAGAAAGTTTCTGTATCCATGTTGATGAAGACTTGTACCCACATGAGGACTTCATAGGCTTATATCAAGTTGATGAAACAAGTGGATCTGCAATCGCACAGATTGTCAAGGATGCTTTATGCCGTAATGGGCTTTGTATGTCAATGTTGAGAGGGCAAATATATGATGGAGCTTCAAATATGGCTGGTAAATATCATGGTACCCAGGCATTAATCAAGCAGGAACAACCACTTGCCATTTATGTCCATTGCGATGCACATTGCACAAATTTAGTTATGCAGGCCGCAGCACATCAATGTCCAATAATGGAAGATGCACTTATGTTTGTGCAAGATCTTGGCAAACTCTTTGGGCAATCTATGAAATGCAGAAACACATTTTCAGAAATTGTGCATCGTGAAGCTGAAGGGCCTATTAAAGTCTTGCATATTAAACCATTGTGCCCAACACGCTGGACTGTTAGAGTGAAGCCTGTGAAAAAAATTCTGGATAATTACCAGCTGATTTTGGAAACACTTGAAAAAATTGCAAATACCAGAAGTAGTGGAGATATAAATCCACGTGCACGTGGCCTACTACAACAATTTAGGCAAGGGAAAACTCTACTAGGTCTTCAAATCTCTCTTAGCATCATGGAGATCTTAGAATGCCTGAATGTAGCCTTGCAAGGCAGAGAACAAACCATTTCAGGACTTTTAGCAAGTGTACAACGGACCCATGATGCTATACAAAAGTTAAGATGTGGCACGTCCTTTGAAAGAGTTCTTGCTACCACTATTAATTTAGTGGAAAAATACCAGCTAAAAGAGGTTACTGTACCAAGGCAACCTGATATTCCTAAACGTCTTCAACATGGGCCAACTGAACAATATTCCTTCATACTGTGAAGGAATACTATTGTCCTCAGTATTTCCAAATAATGGATATTATATCGACACAGTTAATGCAGCGCTTTGACCAAGAGGGCTTACTTGTATATGAAAAACTGGAATATTATCTGTTAACAGGACAAGCTAGTGATGTTCTTCCCCAGTATCCAGAGACTGAATATCATCTTCTCTCTGCCCAGATAACCACCTTATCAAGTGTTTACAAGTACACTTCAGTCTCTGAGGTTGTAGATATTTTGCGAAAGATGCCTGCCAGAGAAAGATGCTTTTTCTCTCAAGTAGAAAATATTGTCAGAATCCTATTAACTATTCCTGCTTCTTCCTGTGAAGCTGAGAGAAGGTTTAGTGCACTGCGTAGATTAAAAACCTGTTTTAGGTCCACAATGACCCAGAAACGTTTGAACCATGTTGCTATATGCAACATCCATAGAGACATAATGGATAAACTAGACATCGAAGCCATAGCAAAGGAATTTGCAATGTGTTGTGATCGCCGCAAAAAAGTTTTGGGATTTTAAAAACTTGCATTCTTTAGTGTGTGAGCTGGCAGTGGCAGGCACACATTTACAGGAACAGCTATCTTGCACCTAGTTAGCTGAAGTACGCTACAGTGGTTGTGGTGCTTGGAGGGTCTCACTCTGTCTGCAGTTAGAAAATAGTTTCTATTTATATAGTTATAGTATTTAATTGTATTTATACAAGATCTTTTGAGCATATTGGTTCTATTTATATAGTTATAGTATTTAATTGTATTTATACAAGATCTTTTGTTTTGTTAAAATCAGGCAATAGTGCATTACTTAAAGTATTATTATCACTAGTTTTAAGTGGAATAACTGAAATATATGCCAAACGTTTGGTTAATTTCTGTGACCTGATAAATAAAGAACTGTTCCTTTTGTATATTTTTTTGTTGTGAGATTTTTCTCACACACACACACATACACACACACATACACACACACACTTAAAATTTAACATTATAAACTCCCAGTTTACTGAATAAGAATATACCCGGCGAGCAAAAATGCTGTCCCCCCCAGATTTTTGGGGGTTCCTACACCCATGATTGTGGCATATCATTTTCCAAGTTATTATCCTTGCTTTTTTGTGTGCATTATATTTTAAGTGCAGCTTACCTTATGTAGTAAATGTACCAGATTTGCAGGAGTCTTTGGTGATAAAATTATATTGCAAAATAAACCTGGATCCATTTACAGCATACAAGAAAGAGCTTAATATATCAATCAGCCCTTTGTGTACTGTTCCACATCACTGGGCAAAAAAGATAAGTGATTATATCTGTACTTGAAGCTATACCTACTTTTCATTTTTTGCCTAAATTCCATAAAACTTTTTTAAGACTCCTGGTAGACATATGATTTATTAATTTTATTATAGCCTCACTGTCCCAGGTACCTAGATTTTTATTTAGAAAGAGAAGTCAAACAGATATAATTGTTTTAGGGAAACAGGTAATTTACTTCAACTTGTAACACTTCCTTTACACAAAATCAGACATGTGGTGCACAATAGATGTTAACTCTTTACATATTACCATTGATTTGGACATATGGCATTTGCTTATCTATTCAGTGACCCCTTACTTTCTTCTACACAAGGTTTTATAGATTTTATTGAATTTTCTTTGACTATGTCAAACTACTGAATTTTTTTTCCCCCAGGTAAAGGTAACAGCGATGGGGGCCAATTTGTGCATGGAGTACAAGCAGAGTTTGTACATTTGGCATAACCGTCCATTGAAGGACAAGCTAGCCTTTATTTATTTATTTTATTTTCAAAGATTAATTGCAGATACAAGATAATCACAAAGTGTTAGACACACCCAAGGGGTCATAAAAAGTGGCAAACGTACATGTAGGGCTTGTAAGATTCACAAAAACAGGTTAATAGGTTAGTTTACATTTAGTGGGTACATAGAATGTGATGGCAGTTAAGAACCATTCAGCCCATCTAGTCTGCCTAATTTTCTAAATACTTTCATTAGTCCCTGGCCTTATCTTATAGCTAGGATAGCCTTATGCCTATCCCACGCATGCTTAAACTCCTTTCCTGTGTTAACCTCTACCACTTAAAAAATGGAAGGCTCAGTGATGTAATACTTCCGGATATTATTTTTAAACCTTTGCTCCTCTAATTTAAGACCATGTCCTCTTGACAGAAACAGAGTTTCCATCAAACAATAGGTTAGTACTACGAGGTGGCACTGTCCTGCAATTCCCTTTAGAGGGAAAGGAGTAGAAAAATAATAGGAAACGAGTAAAGGAGAGAAACAAGAAGAAAATTATATCAACTGTTCAATGGTGGTACTGGATAAATCCCTGGTTTCATGTGGGATCTTGGCAGGGAAAAACCTCAGCATCCTTGGCTCAGCTTACCCCCCATCATGTAGGTGAGGTGTGTCGTGCCGTCCGCAGCAGGAACTCCCTAACCAAGTCTTTAGTGGACAGGCTCCTTCTCGCATCAGTGGTTGGTGGGTCGAGTGCCAGCTTCTTCAGAAGATTTTCTAGTTCACAATAGGTTTCCGCTCGGTGAGTGGCACCTTGAGCTGTGATCAGGACTGTACGGGATATATTCCATCTATATATCTTTTGCACAGAGCAATTAAAGTAACGGTCGCAGGGATCATTGCCACAAGACAGTACTTCTTGTGAGATCCGGGAATATGAGTAGTGTGACTTCTTCAAAGGTGAGTGATGCCTTCACTCTTACAGCAACCTGAAAGAGGGCTTTGTCTTGCAGAGACCGAAAGCAGAGGATCAGGTCTGGAGTAGCAAAGGGAGGTGCCCCAGGCGGCTTGGGAATACGGAACATGCAGTCTAGTTTCACGGCCTTTGTGTGCTTTGGTGCTATGTTTCATGTAGTAATAACATGAAACATAGCGATAATCGTTCTTCTTTCAGTCTCAGGAAAGAACAGAAGACCTGAAGGTTTATTGCCTGAGGTTGAGCCGCGATTATGAAAGCAAGAAGAGGCGTGGACACAAGAAAGGACAGTGGAAGCTAAAATACATTCAGGAGGAATAATAGGAGTTTTATCTTGCTCTTGTTCCTCCTCTCTCTCATACTGTCCAGATAATGCATCAGCCTTTATGTTCCTAGTACCAGGCCTATAAGTGATGATATAACTGAAACGAGAAAGAAACAGAGACCATCTAGCCTGTCTGGATGACATTCTTTTAACCTCCCCTACATATTCCTGATTTTTATGATCGGTTATGATGATCTTTGGATCCTTCCATTAGAAGTCTCCACTCTTTAAGTGCCAATATGATAGCCAATAACTCTGTTACCTATGTCATAATTTCTATCCGCTGGGGATAGCTTTTTAGAAAAGAAGCCACATGGGTGCAGGGGTTTGTCATGACTTTCTCTCTGGCACAGTATAGCACCAACCCCTGTTTCAGAGGCATCTACTTCTAATATGAAAGATCTGCTGGCCGGCTGCTGCGGTTCCACGGCAAAATATACCCCACGTCCGCTCGCGTGATTGACGACGTTGGCGTGCACATGACGTCACGCACACGCACGTTTAAGGGGCCAGAGAGCGATTTCAGCCAATCAGAAAAGTAAAACCAGTATTTAAACCTAAAAATGCCTGTCCTCATTGACCTGTCATGGTTTCCATAGTGGTTGTCCAAGAGCGTGTTCCTTATTCTGGTTATTTGACTTTGACATTGATTTTGACTTCCCTGTTTTCTGGTATCCCTGACCTCTGGCTTTCCTTTATCATTGTGTCCCTTTCTGTGTCCCCTGACCTCTGCTAACCATGACTATTCTTTGGTATGTAAGTCCGGCCATTCTAAGGCCCAGTATATGTTACCCATTAGTATCCTGTGTTACACAGTTCTACGTGCTGGATCATATTGTAATACTGACATTACGACATGGCCATAGATCCTGTGGAATTGTGTAAGCACATAGCTGCTTGCGAAAGGATACTAGAGGAGAATGATCACCGCATGGATCAATTTGCCCAGGCCTTCAGTACGCTTCTTACCTGAACAGCGCATCTGCAACCTCTCTTACTGTCTCACCTTATGTACCTCCACCAATACACAAGGCACCCACTATCTCTCTATCTCCTCCTCTGCATTTTGATGGTAATATTTAAGAATGTTGAGGATTCCTTAACCAAATAGAGTATCATTTTGAGGCCTCACCGGGATCTTTTCCCACAGATAGAGCTAAAATTGGTAAACTAAAAGGTAAAGCTTGGGCCAATCCGTTATGGGAGAGTAACAGGAGTGTGGCACACTATTACCAGGAATTCCTTATGGAATTTAAACTTACGTTTGAACCATTAGGCAGGGAGGAAGACACCTCCACTGCCCTGATGCACATCAAACAAGAGAACCAGTCTATTTCGGAGTATTCCATATAATTCCGTACCTTAGCTTCCGAGGTAGACTGGACTAACAGTGGGCAAATCTCTGCATTTAAAAAGGGACTATCCGAAAATATGCTAAATGAGATTGCTGCCAAAGATCTACCCAAGAAACTTAATGAGTTTATTACATTTGTAATGCAAATTGACAATAGACTTAGAACCAGAGTAGCTACTAGAAATAAGACCAGACATATGACTATGCATTTAGCACCCCGTTTCTTCAAACCTGTTGTTCCTGACCTTCCTATACATTTCGAACCTGAACCCATGCAGTTGGGGGTCACTAGACTTTCGGAGGCGGAGAGACAATATAGGAGAAAAGAGCGTCTCTATAATGCGGTAGTAAAGGACATATGAGAAACAATTGTCCCATTCATCCGGATAACTACTGCACCTAAGTGCCTTAAGGTCTAAGGTGTAATGGAGACATCCTCTGAAAAGAATAAATATAGATTTCTCCTTGATATTTCAATTATCCTTGACAAAAATAACTTTTAATGCAAAGCCCTGATGGACTCTGGGGTTGCTGGAAATTTCATTGATGTCAAATTTGTTAAGGGTAATTCTATACCTGTCAAGGAGAGCCTATCACCTCTAGCTGTAGAAGCTATTGATGGGAGACCACTCTCACAACCATTAATTACTCACAAAACATTACCCATTAGTATGTCCATTGGAGCCTTGCATAAAGAAGATATAACGTTTCAAGTTATTGCGTCCCCTTCCTGTCCTATCATATTAGGCTTTCCTTGGCTTAGTAAGCATAACCCTCATATTGATTGGGCTAATGGGGAAATATTGGAATGGGGTAAGGATTATGAGGGAAGGTGTATAGTACATATCACTAAGAGAATGGCTACTATTGAATTACCTGCTATTACTCCTCAAACTCCCGAATGTCCCATACAATACCAGGACATTAAGGAAGTACTTAGCAAGACTCAGTCTAATGTATTGCCTCCCCACAGACCATATGACTGTTCCATTAACTTACTACCCGGCGCTATGCCACCTAAGGGAGCAGTGTGTGCTCTATCCCCACAGGAAAGTAGAATAATGGAGGAATATATTAAGGACTCACTAAGTAAAGGCCATATATGCAAATCATCCTCGCCTGCTGGTGCAGGGTTTATTTTTGTGTCAAAAAAGGATGGTGAGTTATGCCCTTGTATCGATTACAGGACATTGAACAAAATCACCATTAAGAACGCCTACCCCATTCCTCTTATTTCTGAGTTGTTTGACAGGCTCCAAGGCGCTAAAATATTTACTAAGCTTGACCTTAGAAGCGCTTATAATTTAGTAAGAATCAAGGAAAACCATGAATGGAAGACTGCATTTAATACCAAAAGTGGACATTATGAGTACCTGGTGATGCCATTCGTGTTGTGCAACGCTCCAGCGGTTTTCCAAGATTTTATTAATGACGTACTCAGAGATTAAATCTACTTGTTTGTCTTAGTCTATCTGGATGACATCGTTATTTATTCCTCTGATCTCCAAACTCACCACGGTCATGTCAGACAAGTTTTTCAGACCTTATTGAAAAATCACCTTTATTGTAAATTGGGAAAATGCATTGTTGATCAGTCAGTAGTAGAGTTTTTAAGATATAATATTTCTGCCTCTGGGTTTCAGATGGATTCTAAAAAACTGGAATCAGTTCTACAGTGGCCTTTACCCACTGGGAAAAAAAACATTCAAAGGTTCATTGGTTTTGCCAATTATTACAGAAGGTTTACAAAGGGTTTTTCTTCCGTTATAGCCCCCATCACCAATATGACACGCAAGGGGGCTGCCAGTCCGATATGGTCTAAGGAGGCTATAGAAGCCTTTGAAGTTCTCAAACAAAGGTTTGCCTTTGCAGACATATTAATACATCCAGACACCAGTAAACCTTTCATACTGGAGGTTGATGCCTCAGAGACGGGGGTAGCTGTTCTCTTCCAGAGGGAAAGCCAGGATACCCCTTTGCATCCTTGTGGCTACTTCTCTAGAAAGTTGTTTCCTGATGAGCGCAATTATAATATTGGCAATAGTTGGCCATTATTCTAGCTCTCAAGGAGTGGCAACACCTTTTGGAGGGTTCCAAGGACCCCCTTTTGATCATTACTGACCACAAAAACCTGGCTTACATCAGTGATGCTAAACGGTTGTCTTCTAGGCAGGCTAGGTGGTCACAATTCATTTCTCACTTTAATTTTCTTAGAACTTATAGACCTTGTTCTAAAAATGTCAAGGCTGACGCCTTATCTAGACAGTTTGATACGGAGTCTATACAAAAACAAGAAACGTCCCCTAACTTTCCCCCTGTATATATCATTGCTTCCACTATCCTTTCATTGTCCTCTCCACTGCTTGGCTCCTGCAGTAAAGCACATTGGGTGAAAGGGTTAATATCACGAAGGTGTTCCATGACAATGTGACTGCTGGTCACCCGGGTATTAATAAATCCACATCTGCGATCATGAGATCATTTTGGTGGGATTCCCTCAGGAAGGATGTAAAGGAGTATGTGCAGGCTTGTTCTGTTTGTATAGTTTCTAAAGTTCCTCAAACTCCCTTGTGGCTTGTTGCAACCTCTTCCCGTTCCTGAGGTTTCACGGTCTCATGTGTCCATAGATTTCATTGATGAAATTCCTAGTTCTAACGGTTATACCACTAGTCTCATGGTTGTGGACTGTTTTTCTAAAATGGCTCATTTTATCCCACTCAAGAAATTGCCGTCATCACAAGACCTGGTACTGATCTTTATACGTGAGATTGTCCGTCTGCATGGCATTCATCACAATATTGTGTCTGATAGTGGTTCTCAGTTTGTATCCCGATTCTGGAGAGCTATTAATAAGCAATTGGGGATTGAGTTGTCCTTTTCATCCTCTTGTCACCCCCAGACTAATGGTACGGCTGAGAGGGCTAACCAGTCTTTGGAATTGTATTTGCGTTGTTTTGTTAATAGCACTCAAGACAATTGGTCCGAATTACTACCATGGGCCGAGTTTGCTAGGAGCAATGCTGACCATGACTCCTCTGGACATAGCCCATATTTTGTTAATACTGGCCAGCACCCTACAGTCCTCCCGGCTGTTTTTCTGACACGGCTATTCCTGCTTTAGATGACCGTCTTGCCTCTATTCATGATACCTGGGTCAAAGTTCACAACGCCCTGGGGACTGCTGCTGATAAACAGCAGGGTGCCAACCCTGTTTACCAAGTGGGTGAGAGGGTTTGGTTAACTTTGCACAACATCCGGCTTAAAGTCCCTAGCATGAAATTTGCTCCTAGGTTCCTTCCTTCGGAGGCTCAAATCACGTTTTGAACACCTTGGCCCTTCTGGCCTCCTTGAAGTTTCCGAACCCCTTTCATGTCTCCTTACTCAAACCTCTTGTTTGGAATAAATGTCCCTCCTCCTCCCTTGGTTGTTTCTGGACAGGAGGAGTATGAGGTCTCTTCCATAATTGATTCCAGATTTTCTCGGGGCACTTTGCAGTACTTGGATGGATTTCAAGCCATCCAGTCACAGTGCTCTGTGTCATTTTACACAGCGTGGGAAAGTTCTTTTGAATTTTCCCACGCTGTGTAAAATGACAAAGAGCACTCTGATTGGCTTAAACCCACCAATCAGAGTGTTCTTAGCCTAATTGCAGGGCGGAACAAGGCTTTATAAGCCTTCCCCCGCCCTGCGGAGCTCAGTCTGCGCGGAGCCCTCCATGGGTGAAGATGGATTTTTTTTTGCGCTCAGGTTTTTTCTTTTTCGTCAGGGTTTTTTTTTGCGCTCTGGATTTTTATTTTTTTTTAAGTTCGACGGTTATGATGTTTTTTTATTTGGCCTTTTTTGGGGCTGAAAAATTAAGATTTGAGAAAAAAGAAGACGTTGAATGGTAAGTTTAATTTTATTTTACAGGTTAGTTATTTTATTCCCCCCTCACAATTTTTTAGGGTGAGGGGGGTAGGTAGGGACTTTTTATTTGGGTGGGGGGTTGGTGACCTTATTAAGCCATCACTCCCAAATTTCCCCATGCTACCTCTTGTCTCAAATCCCCACGGTATCCTTTAGATTGTAAGCTCACGGGCTATCTACCTATGCAATTTGTATAAAAGAGCTTAAATGGCTAGATTTCAGCTTATGGGCAGGGCCCTCTCTACCTTTTGTATTTGTGTGTGTATATTGTATGTTCTCCACTAATTGTACGGCGCTGCGGAATCTGTTGGCGCTTTATAAATACCAATAATAATAATAATGTTGCATAAGCTTTATTTGATATCTGAATTAGAGTGCAAGCTTTATTGGCAAAATTAATTACATTAGAATACATGCTTTATTACCCAACTATTACATTGAGCTTTATTAGGCTATAAACAAAGTGCTATTGCATGTAAATTCTCTTTTTAGTTTTTATTATATGACATGACAATAAATATAGGTGTGTTTTGAGGGGCATGGTTTTAGTGGGGGGTAAGCAGCATATCTTTCTTGGACCCAGACAGGACAATGTTTTGGGCCAGCCCATGTGCAAATGTATCACATACGTCACAGCAATAAAACTCACAGTAATGTGCGGTTTAGATAACAGACCCATTTTAATGACAGTAACGTGCCCCATGCTGTTAGGCGGAGGTTCTATGCCTGCACACAAAAGTGTTTTGATATGTTAAAAAAAAGTTAAAATAAAAGGCACAATCACCATTATTCATAAACAACATACTTTTCTATTGCAATATTCAAATACTGGGTCAGTCCAGTTACGGTATATGTCAACAATGTGCAGGGTTGTCTTAGCAAGCCAATTACTTTATAAGGTGTGCATTTTTGTGCTTTATTGTAGAAACTATATATTCCACCTACACGAATGCAAAAAAGTTATCAGGAGCACAGCCAACACTAGAAAGCACTTCAACTATAGAAACTGACACTAGCCTCCAGTTCTGGTACAGGTATGTAGAGCCTTGTCAAACAGATCCTGTGTTGCCACTGTCTGTCTGTACCCCACCTCAAACCGGCAGTATCCAAATGAATAAAACAGGCACACATCTTGGAAAAATAAATCTATTACTTCACCACATGCTTGCTACTGGAAAATCTATCGCACCTCCTCCTGAATATGAACTACCTTTCTCTGTTCAGAACATACTTCCAAGAATAGAGAAACTTGGACAATCAAACGATACTTGTCAAAACATATTCAGCTGCCAAGAAGGGTTTCTTTTGCAAGTACCGTGCATTGTTTGCACAACATCACAAAAGTGTTCATAACAAAGATATGGCACTTGAAAAATTTGTAACTGAGTCCCTTACTAATTTATAAAAGCTTAAGGGCAAGGATGGAGATTTGGAAGCCCATGCAAGTCTTGTTTATCACCTTCAGAATGTAACCGAAGGAAAAGCATTTCTAAAAATCTACTGTTGTGGACAAAAATATTAACTCAATTTGTGTTAGTAAAATGCCTATTTACTCAGCATACCTACAATCAGCATTATTCAACTCTATATGTGATTTACCTAAAATGGACGCTAGGGAGTTTCCCCTTCGACATCGACTAACACCCTCACTAACAAGATGGCGCTGGAATCTGGGGGAGACCTCCAAGATACCAGTGACATCACACCCGGTAGGAAGAGCAATAAATGAACCACTTAACACCTAACCAATTATTGATGTATTATTTCATGTTATCTCTGACAAAGCATATGATGTCATTTTGCTTTATAAGGGGCATGCCATCCCCTCAGAATAAACATTCCTCAAGTTTTTCATTAACCCGAAACCTGCACTACTTCTTTAATTTGGCCAGGGGCAGATAAACAAGATAATCAATTAATTGGATTCCCAATCATTTGGCCCCCAACACAGAGTAGTTTTAAGGTAGAACGCATGAATGGCACTCTGAAAGCCAGAATGCTTAAGATGGCCCAAGAAATTAACCTACTCTGGCCGGAAAGTCTTCCCATAGCACTATTTAGTGAAAGGTACACTCCAAGAGGGAGATTTAGCTTATCCCCCTACGAGATGTTATTTGGTACAGCACCCAGGTTAGGCTGTTACTTTCCTCATCAACTCCAAATTCAGTCAGATGCAATGGTAGATTATATAACTGCACTCTCTCAGGCTTTGACCAAAATCCATGCGCAAATGTTTTCTTCTATTCCAGATCTAGAGTCAAATACAGGCATACATAAGCTACTTCCTGGTGACTGGGTCATGGTCAAGAAGTTTCTCAGAAAACATACCCTTGAGCCAAGGTTTGATGGTCCATTTGAAGTGCTATTGACTACGTATACCTCTGTAAAGTTGGCCGGGAAGCGTACCTGGATACACGCCTCGCACTGTAAGAAAGTTCCTGATCCAGATTAAGCAGATTCCGCCAAACCATGAGCTTCCTGTGCCTATTTTTACTGTTAGGCCTATTAAAGGCCCAACAAGTTGCTATTACCAAAGATAATCACGTTTACACATTCTGGTATAACTCTTCAAACACACATGTAGCTACTTTTACATTTGATTACTGTGATATTGTTCCTTGTACCTTTCCACAGTCACAACACTCAGCAATAAACAAAGACATACCGAACAAGAAGGACCCCTACATTTGTGTGACAGGTGGCCATTGGGGACACCACTGTGGTACATGGAAAGCAGCGGGTTGGAACACGGGCCGACCGTGGGGCTACAGACCACAAAGTGCCTTAGATAGGATTGACAGATATGGGAAACCCTTGCTACACAGAATGACCAAGAGGGTCTACCCCAATGAAACTCACATTAAACATAGAACATCCCAGCCCAGAGACGCTGGAGAGTACGTAATGGGAATGTATTGGAAAGGGGGTGGCTCATATAACAAGTTGGGGACCTTCTATTTACAAGACATGCTTACGTCACCTGACTGGGTAGACTCTACACATGTGACGATAAACCTTTTAAAACCACACATTAAAACCCTTAAAGACATGGTAGCCATTGCTAATCCCACGTTTGAAGACACTATGGCTGTGGAAACCGTGTTTTCAGATACTAATTTATGGCTTGAGTGGATGAGGTATAATGCTAATTCACACAATAAAACTGTTATGTTTGTGGAGGGGCCAGACCCAATCTGGGTACAGTGCCCTTCAGATGTTGAAATATGTTTCCTAAGTCTCTATGCGCAGTCACCAACAAACTCAAGCCACCTGATGGGATCACCGTGTATCCAGGTAACTACATTTGCTACAAAATACATGGAGCCACAGGAAAATTTGTGGGTAAATTCCCTTCTGGCTACTGTACTACCTATAGAGAACCTCCCAATGCCCTATTAGTAAATCATGTTAAGTCCGTGGGAGACATTTATTGGCTATGTGGTGACATGCAGCTCAGATCTAAAATGACTGGCCTGTAGTGGAGAGAATGACCAAAGCTATCATGCCCATACATATAATTTCTGATAACCACCAAGGTCCACTTGATTCACCACACACGTATTTTAGGGTAAAAAGAGAAACCCCTGTTCGAGGTAGTTTTTACCCACATATCTATATCGATGCCATAGGTGTACCAAGGGGGGTACCAAACGAGTTCAAGGCCAGAGATGAGGTTGTAGTAGGTTTCGAATCCTTGATCCCACTCATCACCGCTAACAAGAATGTTACTATAATCAGCAACGCTTTGTCAATTACACGAGAGATGCCCTCCAGAGCTTGGCAGAACAGTTACAGACTACCTCCCAAATGACATTTCAGAATCGAATGGCTTTAGACATGATACTAGCAGAGAAGGGGGGCGTGTGTAAAATACTTCCCGATACTATGACATGCTATACCTTCATCCCAGACAATACAGGCCCCAATGGTAAGGTAACTAAGGCCATAGAGAAATTAGAAAGTCTCTAACCTACCCTGACCGGAAAGTCTTCCCATAGCACTATTTAGTGTAAGGTACACTCCAAGAGGGAGATTTAGCTTATCCCCCTACGAGATTTTATTTGGTACAGCACCCAGGTTAGAGAAATTAGAAAGTCTCTCTGATGAATTAACAAAGAACTCAGGAGTCCCCAATTCATGGGACAGATGGTTTGGTTGGATGAGTGGATGGCAGAAAACTCTCCTTCAAGTAGGTATGGTGGTTCTTACTGTGGTAATTCTCTTTCTCTTCCTGGGTTGATGCGTGATGCCCTGTATGCAGAAATACTTACAGAAGACTGTAGGTCAGACCATTGACCACACCACACCTACATTCCTACATCAGGATATTGACGATATAGACCGTGACACACCACACACACCTCTTCAGTCCCACCACCTCAAAAAGACAACTACTTCCTTATATGGACAGCGTCTGTCTCCACGGGTAAAAGTCTGACGCAGGAGATGTAGTGGGTTAGCCACTACGGGATACCCGCGCAGTGAAACGTTCGAGGCCTGTTCAGACAGACGAGCTGCAGCCAAGTAGAGACATTATTAGGGTCAGTTAGTAGTTGTCTCTTTAGTAAATAGTCATTTTAAGGGGGGACTGTTGTGGACAAAAATATTAACTCAATTTATGTTAGTAAAATGCCTATTTACT